TAACACGTCCAAATGCAGTTTTATAAAAAAAACAGACTAGAAAAAGGTTTAGATATCAATCATAGATGGCAGGACCAGTGCTGAAGTGGAAGGAAATATCTTAAAAAATTTTGAAAAAAAATTTTCTTCTTAGAGGGCACTTATTTACAGTCTAAAACGTATTTTAGGAATTTTTTCATTAAATTCCTATTTAAACTACATTAAATAATACAATTTTATAAAAATAATTGAATGTTATGCTACTATTTACAAAAATAAAATCTGAAATCCAATAAAAGATAAGTTCTCTATAATTTTTTCAATTCACAAATGTGATTTTGCCCTCACAATAGGACAAAATGGCCACGGCAAGTAACGGGTTAATATTTGCTTTTAAACTAACAAATTGAGTAATACATAATTCTAAAATTTGAATTATAATCTACATTTTGATACCAAACTTATTGACATAAATTCATGAAATAGTAGTTCAATAAATTTTTAATGAGAATCAACAAACAAGATGACAAAGTCTTTCACCTGTGATCTGTCTCAAAAGGATTAATACTATTAAGTTTATTCAAGTCAAAATTACACCCATAATTCATAGTGATATTTCACAAGTATTGCCTTGCATATATAATTAAAAGCTATCTGCCATATATTCATCAAATAATACAGATCCTTTTGTAAAGCACTAGCATCCTCCTCTTAATCAGCAGCATCCAGCTCTTTAATGTCATCAGGTAATCTAATAATCTAATAATGGCTGGAGACGGCTTGAATGGGTAATGAAGAAAAACTTTAATATAACAGCAAATGTACAACGTTTCGACAAGGTTTTGTCATCATGACTAACTTAAACCTGTGTTTACCAATGGATGACTAGCACCCAGGAACAAACCCTTACTCAAAACAGCATTGCAGTCTACTGTACACTTATCCATGACCTACACTTGTTCAGCCTGGCCCCCACAGGTCCTGTACTTACCAGATAGTCACCAAAACCATGTATGGTAGACAGGTCAGCCTCGAAAAATACGATGACATGACTCAAACTGGTAGTAGGAACTGGCAAGGGGAAGAACAAGAAACAAGAACAGGGAAAGATTGGGACGGACTCTAGATGAGACTCCAATAAATCAAAGAAATCCTCAAAAAAGGAGCCATGCATAAATCTGAAAGATGAAGGAGCAAATAGGCCATGACAGAAAGGCATCATTGCCCAACAACACAGGAACCAAGTGTGTCAAAGAAGATAAATGGGCCAACATGGACAGCAATAGGGAATAGCCTCAGATATAAGGTGAATGGTAAAAAAAGTAAAGTATGAGGGAGGTTAAAGATAAACAAAGGCAGGAATACTGAGTATGTGAAAAATGAGCTGAAGTATCTGCGTCCAAACTCCAAACTGGGATTAAATAATCCTACAGTTGTAAATTCAAACAAGGATTTGAATCCTGCTGATGGGGGAGGGGGGGATGCTAATCCCCAAATGAAATTACATTGCAAAATG